TCTTTAAGCTTTTATAATATATTTACTAAATTTTCCTTTATTTTATAATACTTTTATAACTAATATTATAAATACTAAGAGTTTAATTTACTAATTTCTTAAAGAGTATAGTTTTAATAAAGAAGAGCTTAGTAATAATAACTATTAGTATAACTAAATAAGTAGTAATAAGCTTTATATTAGTTATATATTATAGCTCCTTAAGAACACTTAAGTTATTTATATTTACTAGAAAGATAGTAACTATATATATAAGTTATACTATTTTTATAGTATTAAGTACTATANGGTAAGTTTAGTAATTATTTAAGAATAGTATAAACTAAGTTTTCTTTCTTTTAAATTTTAGTTTATTTTATTAATACTATTTATTTTTATTAAAACTAGATTAAATATTATACCTATACTATTATTACTAAGTAGTACTATTAATATAAGATCTTTTATATCTTTATAACTATAGAGTAGAGTATTAAGTTTCTCTAATATCTCTATAAGTAATTAGTAAACCTTATTAATTTTAAACTTAGTTCTAAGAACTATAATAACTAGTTACTTACTATAAATATAGAGGAGATTACTATTTTATATATTTAGGTATATTTATAGGTTATACTTAATATAAGTTTCACTTTATAGTTAGTTTTTTCTTTTTACTTATCTAATATATTATTTATAAATAACTTATTAAGCTAAGGATAAGGTATTAGTTAAGGAGATTATATTATAGATTAATAATATTCTTCTAGCCTATTTATATAATAAGACTTATATTTTTAACTAAGCTAAGTTCCTTAACTATTTTAATAAAGTCTTAATAATATATCTTTTAAAAAGTAATAATTATATATCTAAGTTTTCTATATAGGATCCTTTAAAGGTCTAAAGTTATTATATACTTTATAATATTTATTACTATACTTTTATACCTATTTATAAGGTTATTAGTAATAATTTTATACCTTAGCTTAATACTTATAAGTAAGTTAATAAGGATTTAGTAATAGCTTATTAGTACTAAGTTAATAATAAGGATATAGATATATCTTTTAAAAATAGTAATAATAACTCTAATAATACCTTTAGAAGTAGAGGTTAGAGTAGTAATAATAGTATTACTAATAAGAACTTAGAGAGTAAGAGTAATAATAAGGGTAGTAAGGAAAATAGTAATAATAATAATAATAATAGTAATAATAATAATAGTAATAATAATAGTAATAATAATAGTAATAGTAATAGTAATAGTAATAAGTATTAGTAGTACTAATTAAAGTTTAGTAAATATATAATAGGTTTTCTATAGGAGTATAAGGTTAAATACTTATTATTTTTAGTTATTTTTACTAAGAGGTCTAAAAAGCTTCTCTAGTATTTTAAGCTATTCTATAGTTAATTAACCTTTCTTATTATATTATACTACTTATTATCCTATTTATAATATAACTTATACTACTGTTTTTTAAATCTAGTTATAAGGGACTAAACATTTAGCTAGAGGGCTTAGGGATAGCTTAGCTAGTAGAGGCTAAATAAATAGGAAGGTCTATAGGTCTAAGGTATAAAACCCTCTATAATAAAGATTTAGTAAATACTTATTAAAGACTAAAAAAGAAGGAACTTAAAAGAAATAAGTAAAAGTAGTATAGTAATATTATACTTACCTTTTAGGTACTTCTTCTATTAGTTTAACTTAACTATAA